TAAACAATAACTTTTGGTTTGGATTTCCAAACATTCTCAGCCTAGGCCCTGCCCTGCCTCTTCCCACCCCCACCCCTGAGCGCACACCCCCCCCTCGCTCCGCCCCCTCCCTCCCAGTGCCTCCTGCATGCTGCTGAACAGCTGATCTGTGGTGGGCAGGAGGTGCTGGGAGAGATGGGAGGAGCCGATTGGCAGGGCTGCCAGCAGGCCAGAGGCACGGGGGGGAGTAAGAGGCATAGGTGCTGGGACGACCGGTGATGCTGGTGCTGCCACATGCCTTGGCTTGAAGTGGTTGCCATCAGATCCAGGGTTTACAGTTTGGTTCAGTGGCTCTCAGCACCCCTCACTCTACAAATTGTTCCTGCACCACTGGTGGGAGAAGCTGATGGAGGGGCGGGTAGGTGCTGAGCACTCACTATTTTTTTTTTTTTGGAGGACCTGTGGAGCTGGCACCTGTGGTTCTCAGTACTGGATGAAGTCTGCTTCCATTGTAGTCAAGGACAGTTTAGGCCAACGCTGACCGCTTCTGAAAACTGTACCCGTAATGGATAGACAAACAACAGAAGAAGTGTTTATTGGCCCTGATCCAACGTTGGAGACAATGAAAAAACTCCCATTGATTTCAGTGGTCTTTGGATCAGGCCTTTGAGGAGAAAACTTACAAGAATAAAAACAGAGAAAACAGACATCAAAAATCAAGAACTATAATAGACTTAGAATGTTTCTTTTTATTTTTAATATACCTATTACAATTTGTTAGGCATATATAGAGCACTATTATTTACATATCCAGTGTTTATCCTTTGGGGTGAATTCCAGTGCTAAATAAATAAGCCATGAGTTGCTTGTTAACCATGTAGAAAACAAACTTCCACTAGAATGATTTCACATAATGATGATGTCCTTGATATGGTTACAGTTGCTTGTAGTTTCAGACAGTAGATCTCTTCAGATTGCAGTCAAATGGTGTATAAAATTATAAACATAATTACAGATAATCAGAAGAAAATTATAACAATACAGCAAATTAAAAACAATACTGAAAAACCATCAGCCTCTACATTTTTCACAGTCATTTCAGAATGAAACTATAGTCTAAGGGCAACAAAGTGATACGTTTTGGTAAAATCCCAATCATGAAATATCTAGCGCCATTTAAGATGTAACCTTTGGGGAAAATAAAGGTACTTCAGTTAGTAATTATTAAACATAAAACACATTTTAAAAGGCCTTCTTTCTGTCATGGCTTCTTAAAAAATGTCTGCATCTCAGGATTATTATTATTTTTACTGAAGTTCCTCTTCAATTATCACAATTTTATATATATATACATATAATAGATCATACCATCGACAAAAGGAACACAATTATCTGGGATCACAAAGCAAGGGTCCAAATCAGTTCCCATTCAATGTTATGCATGTAAGCTCAAATAGGAACTGGACTTTGGCCCAATCTTGCATCAGGGTCTGTAAGCTCAGAGCCCTGCAACCGTACAGAGTCCTTTAATCTTCTACTACTAGTATATGGGTGCAGGGTCCCATGCGGATATGTCCTAATGAAGGATCAGAGCTTTAAATCACACAAATAATGGTAGGTTATTTCTCATAATTCTTGTCAATAATATTTTGGAGGTCAATCCTATGACCTGTCATCAAATTGTTTGAATATCTGGGATATTCAACTATAGCACAAAGTAGTGGATTCTCCAAGCTACATAAAAAGACAGAGGATTGAGTTAATAATTGTCAAGCATTTTTCCTTACAATTTTAACATTCCCACATTTATGTTGGTAAAGAACTGGCTTTCTTTACTTGTTGTATCATTTATTATTAGACAAGACATTTTAGATTTTAACTGCACTGTAGTTTGTCAAATGAATTGTTTTGGATTTTAGAAGCACTTTTTGCTACAGATTTCAGCCTCTGGCCTTTTTAAGACACCTGTCTAACTATTAAAAATAATATTTTAAAGCAAAACTGATGTTTGATATAAAGTAACACTTGTGTTGTTGTAAACATGGAAAAATATTCTACAAAAAACAAGTAGAAAAGTGATTTCTGATTTATGAATATGGTTTATATAAAAATGCAAGTCACTAATCTGTATGCTAAGAATGGTCCTTGCTGGGCAGTGTTGTGATGGTACATCACATTTTCACAGTTTACATTGACACAGTCAGAACCATAATGTGATGACATCCTTAGATCAGAAAAATATTATTTTACGAACTGTACATTTGGCATCTGTTTTCAATTTTATACATATATAAAAGTGCAAAATACAATATGTTAATACAAGGTTTTGCAAATCCTATTAAAAACTTCTGAATTTTTAACCCTTCTGCTCAGTCACTGGAAACTGTTTGGCACATTAGGACTTTAGTTTAGATAGAAAACATCTCCCTTTGTTGCTGTCACTCTTTTCACTGCATCTTTAAATAATTAAATTACTCCAAAGGAATTAACCTTTCCTTTCCCTACCTGTAACGCTTGAGTGATTAAAACATAGCAGTAAAAAAAAAATCATAGACGCTAGGATAATTTATTCACTCAGCAATATATAGAATAGACCATGTCTGACTGCTGATTTCATCCACTGTCAGAGGACAGTGACTATACAGCATGTTCTCCAAATACTGACTGCCAAAGTGGTTGGCTGAATATGGTCTCCAGAATCCCTTAGAACTTTATCCTAACTTCAGATGTGCAAGTGCTGGTTAACCCATATATCTTTAAAATTCTGCTATTTGGCATGCCCATGTATTTGAGATTAAACCTAAATCCCAGAAGTGAAATCTGAGCTCCACTAAATAAATAGCCAAACTCCCATTGACTTCAATGGGGACAGGATTTCACCCAGGTCACTTTCCATGGGGTTGGATTCATGGAAAGAATAACAAGTACTTATTTTGACTACCAAATGACAACAAATAAAGTGTAAACTTATTAATTATTTAGAAATATTAGAAAAGTAATGAATAATTCCAATAATGATGGACATTTAATGTGTGGACTGGCACCATACTTTATAAATACTAGTACTGGATTGGCTACACGGGAGACTGAAATGCTCTATTTAATCATAAAACAGTCATAGGTAGAAGCAATGCAAATTACACCATCTTTCTAATGACTCTGTGCTCTGATCTGGAGAAAAAGCGCTAGGGGAGACTCCATTCAGTCCTTGGTTTCTTAGATTAATTGTGCTAATTGTATGAAGATTGTTGTGACACGGCCATGGATGCAGTAGGAACTGGACTGAGGTCACCATATAATGTACTGGAGGTTGTCAACCAGTTGTCAGAACAAAAAAAAAAAAAAAAAAAAAATTAGCAGGCATAACATAGTACTGAGTGTTTCTATTGTCCCAACAATTTTTTCTTAAACAAATAGGTCTTCTCTGGCTTTTCTAAATTACCACAATTAATAAAGATCTATTACTTTTCCCCCCATTTTCCATGTCTTGTCTGCAACTCAGCCACAATTACTTGACAATCATCCCGCAATTCAGTAGGGCCTTACTAATGGGGTTCCAATATTTCCAAGAGCATTATAACATGCGTCATTCTGTGGCAATTATACCATAAACTCAAACCATCACTGAATATAATTATTTAATCCATTTACAGGCATTTCTATAGCTCTTACAAACACATCTAACAAACTGCCTTTTCATGACAGGTTTCAGAGTAACAGCTGTGTTAGTCTATTCGCAAAAAGAAAAGGAGTACTTGTGGCACCTTAGAGACTAACCAATGTATTTGAGCATAAGCTTTCGTGAGCTACAGCTCACTTCATCGGAAGCTTATGCTCAAATAAATTGGTTAGTCTCTAAGGTGCCACAAGTACTCCTTTTCTTTTTGCCTTTTCATGCTGAATTTTCTAAAGCTAGAATCAGGAATTAGCTCTGGAACTGTTTGTTCCAACACAAATAAGAAGTCTATTTATCAGTAACAGTCATACAACAGTCCTCCTCTTCTTTTAGTCATACAACAGTCATCCAGTCCTGAATTCCCTGCTTAGCTAAAACTCCAGTTGGAGTCAACAGGCTATTTGGCTATGTAAGCCATGAAAGATAATGCTGAAATAACTACTTTCTGTGAAACCTACCTGCTCTCTTTGCATTCATCCTACCAAAAACTCGTATTATTTAAAATCAGTCAAATTAAAACACAGCCATGACTGTTAGTTTTAATAGTAACTGACAATCTGCAATAGGATAAGATCCTGATCCAGCAAAGCACTTGAGTATATGGTTAAATACAAGCATGTGAATAGTCTCATTGAAGTCAGTTAAGAATGCACTTAACTTTAAGCACATGCTTGAGTCCTTTTGGAGTCAACAGGGCTTAAAACTGTATTTAGGTTTTTTGCTGAATGGAGTCCACAGTGCTTTGTTAGATAAGGTCCTAAATCAGGAGTACCTTCAATGAAGTCACAACTTTTGAAGTAATACAAGAATTAGAGTTGATCATGTCAAAAATGAAATATGCATCAGTTAAAGTTCACTCCCCAAGCCACAAAAAAGAAGCATAAATGATTTTTTGTCTTTTAATCCAACAAAAGACACAACAGGAGCATTATTAGCTAATCATCGGCAACATTTAGTTCTTTAACTGATGATCGTCAATCTGCCACGTGAGCCATCTGCTCCAGGTAAAGGAAGAAGTGGAATGGAATTACATACTAACTTTTTCTAAAGATTTTGCTTTTAGAAACCAATGTTTATACTCAGTGACACTGACTAACTTTTCACTATGTATTAAACAACACTACCAGTTTTATGTATTCTCTTCACACATTACATACCAAGCCTGAAAACCAGGAATTCCTACTCCATCAGCACAGTACTCACTTGTCTGTGTACACAGTACTCACAAAAAGAAAAGGAGTACTTGTGGCACCTTAGAGACTAACCAATTTATTTGAGCATGAGCTTTCGTGAGCTACAGCTCACTTGATGAAGTGAGCTGTAGCTCACGAAAGCTCATGCTCAAATAAATTGGTTAGTCTCTAAGGTGCCACAAGTACTCCTTTTCTTTTTGCGAATACAGACTAACACGGCTGTTCCTCTGAAACAGTACTCACAGTACGTCGCCTCAGGACAAAATGCAGAGACAAAATTTCTCGATACTTTAAATGATTGCTTCTTGGAGCAGCTGGCACAGGAACCCACAAGGGGAGAGGCAACTCTCGATCTAGTCTTGAGTAGAGCACAGGATCTGGTCCAAGAGCTAACAATAACAGGACTGCTTGGAAAGAGTGACCATAATATAATAACATTTAAGATTCCTGCGGTGGGAAGAACACCTCAACAGCCCAACACTGTGGCATTTAATTTCAGAAAGGAGAACTATGCAAAAATGAGGAGGTTAGTTAAACAGAAATTAAAAGGTACAATGACTAGAGTGAAATCTCTGCAAGCTGCATGGACACTTTTCAAAGACACCATAACAGAGGCTCAACTTAAATGTATACCCCAAATTAAAAAATACACTAAAAGAACTAAAAAAGAGCCACCGTGGCTTAACCATGTAAAAGAAGAACTGAGAGATAAAAAGGCATCTTTTAAAAAGTGGAAGTCAAATCCTAGTGAGGTAAATAGAAAGGAGCATAAACACTGCCAAATTAAATGTAAAAATGTAATAAGAAAAGTCCAAAAGGAGTTTGAAAAACAGCTAGCCAAAAACTCAAAAGGTAATAACAAAATGTTTTTTAAGTGCATCAGAAGCAGGAAGCCTGCTAAACAACCAGTGGGGCCCCTGGACGATCGAGATACAAAAGGAGCACTTAAAGACGATAAAATCATCGCAGAGAAACTAAATGAATTCTTTGCTTCAGTCTTCACAGCTGAGGATGTTAGGGAGATTCCCAAACCTGAGCCGTCTTTTGTAGGTAACAAATCTGAGGAATTGTCACAGATTGAAGTGTTACTAGAGGAGGTTTTCGAATTAATTGAGAAACTTAACAATAACAAGTCACCGGGACCAGATGGCATTCACCCAAGAGTTCTGCAAGAACTCAAATGTGAAATTGCGGAACTATTAACTATGGTTTATAACCTGTCCTTTAAATCAGCTACTGTACCCAATGGCTGGAAGATAGCTAATGTAACACCAATATTTAAGAAGGGCTCCTAGAGGTGATCCTGGCAATTTACAGACGGGTAAGTCTAACGTCAGTACCGGGCAAATTAGTTGAAACAATAGTAAAGAATAAAATTGTCAGACACATAGAAGAACATAAATTGTTCCGCAAAAGTCAACACGGTTTCTGTAAAGGGAGATCATGTCTTACTAATCTATTAGAGTTCTTTGAGGGGGTCAACAAGGGGGATCCAGTGGACATAGTGTAGATTTCCAGAAAGCCTTTGACAAGGTCCCGCACCAAAGGCTCATACGTAAATTAAGTTGTCATGGGATAAGAGGGAAGATCCTTTCATGCATTGAGAACTGGTTAAAAGACAGGGAACAAAGAGTAGGAATAAATAGTACATTTTCAGAATGGAGAGGGGTAACTAGTGGTATTCCCCAAGAGTCAGTCCTAGGACCAATCCTATTCAACTTATTCATAAATGATCTGGAGAAAGGGGTAAACAATGATGTAGCAAAGTTTGCAGATGATACTAAACTGCTCAAGATAGTTAAGACCAAAGCAGACTATGAAGAACTTCAAAAAGATTTCACAAAACTAAGTGATTGGGCAACAAAATGGCAAATGAAATTTAATGTGGATAAATGTAAAGTAATGCACACTGGAAAAAATAACCCCAACTCTACATACAATATGATAGGGGCTAATTTAGCTACAACTAATCAGGAGAAATTTATGAAGAAATTGGAAATTGGAGTCATTGTGGATAGTTCTCTGAAGATGTCCACACCGTGTGCAGCGGCAGTCAAAAAAGCAAATGGGATGTCAGGAATCATTAAAAAAGGGATAGAGAATAAGACAGAGAATATCTTATTGCCCTTATATAAATCCATGGTATGCCCACATCTTGAATACTGCATACAGATGTGGTCTCCTCATCTCAAAAAAGATATACTGGCATTAGAAAAGGTTCAGAAAAGGGCAACTAAAATGATTAGGGGTTTGGAACGGGTCCCATATGAGGAGAGCTTAAAGAGGCTAGGACTTTTCAGCTTGGAAAAGAAGAGACTAAGGGGGGATATGATAGAGGTATATAAAATCAAGAGTGGTGCGGACAAAGTGAATAAGGAAAAGTTATTTACTTGTTCCCATAATATAAGAACCAGGGGCCACCAAATGAAATTAATGGGTAGCAGGTTTAAAACAAATAAAAAGTTCTTCTTCACTCAGCACACAGTCAACCTGTGGAACTCCTTGCCTGAGGAGGTTGTGAAGGCTAGGACTATAACAGGGTTTAAAAGAGAACTGGATAAATTCATGGAGGTTAAGTCCATTAATGGCTATTAGCCAGGATGGGTAAGGAACGGTGTCCCTAGCCTCTGTTTGTCAGAGGGTGGAGATGGATGGCAGGAAAGAGATCACTTGATCATTACTTGTTAGGTTCACTCCCTCTGGGACACCTGGCATTGGCCACTGTCGGTAGACAGGATACTGGACTGGATGGACCTTTGGTCTGACCCAGTACGGCCGTTTTTATGTTCTTATGTCTCATTTGTTCTTTAAAAAAAAAAAATTGTCCCTGGCAATATCGTGCTTAAATTTAATGTACCTCAGCCAAGCTGCTTGTTCATTGTGACTGTGATCCTCTCCGGATGACAAGAAAAGGGCATTCAAAGAACTGGCAACCCTGGGTTTCTTAGGAATGCGGATGCCTTATGGCATATGAGCTGTAGTGACTGGGAAATGAAAGAAAAACTGCTTTTTAAGAAGGATCTAGTGACTGCACTGACTGCACTGATAAAGCATCCCACTATGTAATGTTTTCCACATTGATGAAGGGGAGAACGTTGATAGCTCATGGTAAGATAGGAAGCCTAAAAATGTCCAAAAGACAGCCTTGTAATGAATGAGTAAGGCGTGCAGGGGTATGGCTTGAAAATGAAGCAATGTAAAGGATGTGCTTATACTATATAACATTGTATGAAAAGCACATGTTTTGCGTCCTCTCTCTCTTTTAAGCTGGTACACTGAAAAATGTATTTTCAGTGCACAGAAAATAAATGACTGTTGGCGTAACTGGAAACTATTAAGCATGCACCCAGGTTATGGATGACTGGAAGATAAAAGATGCCTGAATGCTTGAATTAAAATCATTGATAAAAATGTGGAGAGTTATCTGGCCAGTCATTTTTCACTTCTCTTCTTCCACCAAATCCTCTAAAGCAGTGGTTCCCAAACTTTAACAACCTGTGAACCCCTTTCACTAAAATGTCAAATCTCACAAACCCCCTCCTAAAAATGAATATTTCCAGGGATTTTCTCCTTTACCTGAGTATAAATTATAAAAGCAGTGATCCTGGAAATATAGTTTGTTTTTATGATATGCTTATTATACCCTATTTATTATTAATTATTATTTATCATTACAGTATTTTATTACATTATGAAAATGGCAACACTCTTCCAGGATCTCACTTTCGTAGCTTGTACCACTTTGAATAAGCCTGTTAGAAGACAAGGCTCCTATGTTTCATCAAGGAGTATCAGATGTGAAACAGCAGGAAGGTATCTAAGAAGCCAACTCAGAGTTCCTCCTACACAAGCATTTAGGTCTGAACAGTCCAGGCAAACAACACATGTTACAACAAAGCTTAAACTTGTTCTTCATAATAATTTAAAAAACAATACTAGCTGTCTATTTAATTTTAAAAACAGCAAAAAATATCCACCTCCCTTTCCATTTCTTATAAGGAGTCTTGAAGATTAAATCTCCTCAGTGTGATAGATATGCTTGCTTTGATCTGCTTAGCTCTTGGAAGTCCAGGGGCTCCGGGCTGCCGGCCCCATGCTGCCCAGGGTTCCTAGGGACATCTCTGTCTGCCATTAGGGAATTTTTTCCTGAGAACAGCACTGTTCTGTGGAAAGCACTAATTATAGCATTAATTGACTGATTTCTTGGAAGCAATTCTTTAGAGTAATCAAGTTTGCATCTAAAGAAAAAAACTTTCACTTCCAAAAGTCAAGATCCACCATCCCAAAAAAGCTGTCATTGTCTGAAAGGAGAGGCACCAACAATTACACCTGCTGCATCTGCATTTTTCCATCCGAATGGAATTGGCTGTCACCAGGCATGATATTAGGAAGAAATATTTCTAATCCCAACCTCTTAGAAGTCGATGAAAGAATTCTCGATAACTTCGATCACACTATGATTGAACCGTTAGACTCTTCTATTAAAGCTGACATGTCAAGCAGCGCCAGTGGGATTGAATATGACAATGGTTATAACAGATGTACTAGCAGCACAAGTGTGCTCCTTAGCTTATTTTAATTTGTTGACCGGTTTTTACAAAGTGGTAAACCTGATTTGAAGCTGGATTTTCATCTTTTGTGGAAGAAAGAAAACTCAGCAACAAGGAAAAAAGGAAAGAAAAAGAAAAAGATCCAGAAAAGGGTAAAGCAAATTTGTTGTTATTGTTAATTAAAAGAAAACATACATTATTAAATATTTTTGGTGTATGGCCACACATCCTACCATGTCCTGCCAGACTAACTCTAGCCCTTTGGTATGGTGACTTAGCAGGCAGAGAATTCTATAAATCTCCACGAAGGATGGAGTGTTTCTGACAGGAGTAATTCAATAAGAGAAAAAAAAACCATTTGCTTTTTTAAAATAACCTGGTTAGCCAGTCCCTTGAAAAATAAGTGACCAAAAGAAATCTCCTCCACATGAGAATTCTTGACAGTGTACATTCAGAAGAAATAGAAAAGAGCCCAATTCATCAATTTTCTTCATGTTTCCCCTCCAAGAATGAACACAAAGGGAAAGAACTAAACAAATTAATGCAGCACCCCTGGTGATCAAGGCTCAGAGCCACCACATGCATTGTGGCAAGATCTTATTTAAAACAATAAAACCAAACTGTGTACACCTATATGTGCAATTATATTTAATGGACATAGCAAGAATACTACTGCCAGCAAACAAAAAAGTAATTGTGCCTGATTCTGAGATCTTTGTCAGCGGAATACTCATTAACATCAGTGGGTACTTTGCCTGAGGTAAAATGGCAAGATATTAGGTAATCAGAAAGGAATGTTAACAAGCTCTATGGTTGTAATTGTGAAATCCGACCAACTATTTGTTAAAAGGCAATCACGTACACAGCAGTGTACAATACACAGATATAGACAGTCCCTGCCCCAAAGAGTTTACAGTCTGCAATGTAATAGAAACCTTAAGCCAATTTTAGAGCATACTGATCAGGTCAGACTCACCGAGCACAAGAGTTCTGTAAAAATATTAAGCTCTCAAGTATTTGTCAAACTACAGAGGAGACTTGGGCTGGTGTGGCCTAGCCTGAAACCCTCCCTCCTGTTTGCTCAAAAGGCCTCAAGCCCCTTGCCTGAAGCCATCTCCTTGGAGTTAAGTGGTGACTTATTTCCTCATGATTTAAAGGAGGGGCTGTATTGTCCTTGTTGGGTTATTTATGGAGTGCCTGGCTTATCTATGTCCCAGCCTCACCTTTCAGCAGAGCTGGCAATGTATTAGGATAGCGTCACTTTTTAAAGACTTGTGTATATTTTTTGGCTCATTTAGCTCTTTGTTAGGTTTCTCTCTGATTTTCTCACTAACACTCAAGACACCGTGAGAGACCTAATCTGAACGTGAAGGATTGTGTGAAAATACACAAAAGATACAAACTTAGGCCCTGATCCAGCAAAGCACTTCAACATATTCATTACTTTAAACACTAGAATAGTCCCACTGAGCCTGATCCAACTCTGACTGATGGCACTACTCATGGGCTTAAAGTTAAGCATGTTCTTATGTGCCTTGCTAGATTGGTATCCTATGGTTTCTGTAGCAACAAAACATACACCTTCTTGTCTCATCATTATGGCTTCTTGTTGTTAATATGACAAGTACATCAGCTGAGTCCTGAAGCCAGGGGACTAGTTTTGACTTGATATAAGGGCTTTTAACATGTAAGACAACTTCAATTAGCTGAAAAGAAATAAAAGAGTATATACAGTTCACCAAGGCATTGAACCAGTCAATACAAAGACTCTCAAACTTCAGAATCAGCTGGATCTGGTCACAGATTATTTCAAAACGGTGTGGCACATTAAAATGCTGTGAATGTACTTGCCTCCTGAAGAAAAAAAAAAGATGAAAAAGTGTCCTGGTTTTTACCTTGTAATAGTAATTTGTTCACTATAGAAATACCACCCATATATTTTACACGTGGGTGAGTTCTCTTTTTAGATAGTAACTTTCTTTGAGGACTGGATTTCATTCTATCAGATTAATGCACAACATGAGCTGTCCCTTTATATTTCATACTGCAGTACTGGTGAATTTAGGAGATTCACAGTATGCTATAAGTAAACCTTTTAAGACTTAGCAATAAATGGGCATAATTAAATATTTGAATCATGAAAGCAACTTTTGAACTCTTGGGTAAAAGATCAAGTCTAGTTCATAGTTCTATAACCTTTTCATTCAGTGTTCCATGTTATGTTCTTAAGTTTACAGTTCTTTTACACCATTGAGCATTTGTGTTCCATCTTCGATTACAAGGAGGTAACACAGAAATTAACATATCATTCACCCAATGTTTACCATAAAAATCAACTGCTGACATAGGCCCCACTCCAGCAAAGCACTTACACCCATGCTTAAAATTAAGTACGCCCTTAAGTGCTTTGCGGGATCAGGGCCTTAAATATTATTCAAGCTGTACTTTTTCCTGATGTAAGTTTTTATATTTTCTTCCTTTTTCTAAATTTTTGGGTTCTTTCTTCATGCTTTATTTCAGCTGCTGACTACTTTTTAGATTAAACTAAATCTAGAGGGATGCTGCCATTCTGTTTAGGCATAGTCCAAACTTTCTGCCTCTGATTTACTTTCATTTAAGGATGTTAAGTTTGGACCAGATCCATAACCAGTAGCTGTCAATGGAACTGTGCTGATCTACACCAGTTCAGAATCTGGGCCTTGAGTATGTTCCCTTAAAGTTCTCCTTCAACAATTATTTCTTTTCAGGTTCTTATACTACAGTATATCTTATACAGTTAGTATATTCAGATGTACATAGTCAAACCTGACTGAGATCATACCAAAATAAAGGGGCTTGAGTCTAAGAGCTGTCTACAAGTCAGTGGGAGCTGTGGGTGATAAGTACATGTTGCCATCAAGAACTATGTACAGTGGCTTTATCTTAGTACAAAATACATCTACATTATTAAACCACCAGATCTATGATTATCTATAGTATTGGGAGTTTTAATCCTAGTTGCCGAGGTTAGTGGATAATGAATCCAAATAATGCACATATTAATAGACATATTAAAAACAATAATGACAAAACTGCATTTCAGAATTTGCTATGATAGCACACATAATACTATGAACATATTTATATTGAAATCTTGATAATATCCATTGTTCTGATGGGTACTTTTTAAAAATACCTTTCATATTACGTACTTTCAAAACAGCAAGAAAAACCCCTAAAAACAAACTGAGCCTTTGTTCGAACTAGAGCAGGTTGAATAATAATCTAATGTATGTAATTAGTTTCACAATTTTTTTCTAATAAAATATTCAATCAATATTTCTTCACATTATTCACCCACTTCAGGATGCTATCCAGCTGTGATTAAAGTTCAATTAAAGTTGGAACAGACTTTTATAGAGTTGGGTGAATAATTTGCAAATAATCAGAATATATAAAAATTGCAAAATCTTCCAATTTTTTTTTGAATAATAGGCATATCCAGTGGAGCCTGTACAGCTGTATCAGTAGGATGTCTCTTGCAGTGATTGTGGATGGAAGACAACCAAAGATTTGGTACACAGACCGGATATCAGCAGAGCTCAGAGTGACCAATCTGCATGATAGCTTGGCGTACAACCATGAGTTTTGGAAGAAGGCTATAAGCATCGCTGACCCCGAATAGAGAAGTGTTAAAAAAGAAGAAAAAGAGCTGAGCATCTAGTTATAAAGATGAGTGTGATCAAATGAGTATATTGCAATTTATTCAACTGTATTTAAAGTAACATAACCTGTGACCCTGATTCAAAAAAGCACATGCTTAAGTTTAAGCATGTGCTTAAATGCTTTACCAAATCGGGGCTTCAAACACTAACTTGGGAGCTTAATTTTCTCAATTCCTCAGTACTCTATCTTATGGAGATGAGAGCAAATCCATATATTTCCAAGGTATCGTAATGGAACTAACTGTAAGGGGAATACCTTTTTCCTGTTTAAAGCCCAAAGGCTCTCTTATATTGTGATAACTTTTTAAAGCTTATTTATAATACATTTTTTCTGAATCCATATACCCTATAAACAGGAACCACTTAAAGTAATGCAGTGTATTCAATTCTAGAGTGTTCTTAGAATTTAAGAGAGCAGAAATTAAACCATGACAAACATTATTGTCTTTTGAAATGTTACACAAATTTCAAAGTAACCATTTCAAACTAAACCAATTTCATTAAAATTCTCTATGATATCTTAAGATGTCTTCATTTTCCACACATGTTAAATAGCTCATCTAAAGTAAAAAACACAATGTTAAAAATCACTACATCTTGTGTAAGACTGGGACAGATAATCGACTGAAAACGTGAAAAAACCCTTGAATAAAAACTAAAATAAACAATAAATTATTCTTCAGTGCACATAATTAGCTATATACAGTATAATTTAAAACTGAGTATTGATGACTGCTGATGCTGAGCTTTTAAAATCTCTGACAAACATAAATAAGATACCCCAAGAGGGGACAGCTGATAAAAACTGACATAAAACACAGATTTTTTTTTTCCTTCCCACCTCCACTTAGGCTACAGATTATGTCAGTTTCTTTGAAAAAATGCACAAAAAGGTAAAAAGTTCAATTCCAAAACCATTTTTCTAAATTCCCAATGGACTTGTACTCCTGATGTCTCTTTACATGGTCACAAGCAAGGCATGCATGTGATTCCCAGAACCGAGGAAGATGCACTGAGAAGTCTTTCCTCCAGTTAAAGTAGCTAAGATACAGCTTATTATTTTTGTCAAGCATTAGAAGATATTCTGCTAGCTCTCTTGGGGAGAGGAAATCTTCCACATGAATGAAAGAATCTGCTGGAATATAATTCTCATAGTTTTCTCTGGATGGGCCCAATACAACTGGTACAGATCCAGCCAGAAAAGCATTGTAAAGTTTTTCAGTAATGTAATCTTTGTGGATTGAGTTTTCAAAGGACAGGTAAAATTTACAAGTGGAGATAGTTGGAATCAAGTTTTTATCATTCACATAGTCTCCAAATGCTTGCCCATAGGTATGGATTTCAGTATATTTGCTTAGCTCATTATAATACTTGACTCGAGCATGCTCGGGGTTCCAGTTACTTACAACCCAACATACCAACTTCTCTTTGCTTGGCACTTCAAATGCAAATGGGCTTGTGCTAACCTTCATGAAGCCATAAGGCACTTGAATATCTGAATCACGCCGATAAGTCAGGGTCAGGTTGAACAGGTGTTCAATGCCACTCTTTTGTGGAGTGTGAGTTGGAGACTCCAAGTTCATCCAAATCCATTTCTGGAATGGCGGCCTAGCTTGCTGAGGTAAATTAGTGAGATCCCAGCTGATGTCTCTGTGGTGAATAAGGACGGCATGAGATCGGTTATATAGTGAGCGGTCAATAGTTAGATGGCACCCTTGGATGTTGAACATTGTTTGACAAGATGCAAGATCAAATGTCTGTCCAAATGGCCAAACCCAGATCAGTATTGTTGTTTCATTAAAATAATTGCTTTTGGTAGAAAAGAAGCTCTTCATTTTCAGAACTGAGCTGGCTGATTCTATGGGACCAGAGATCCAGCTGTTTGTTGGTTTGATGTAAATAAGTAAAAATGCCATGAAACAACCCAGCACAATGAAAATAATTAAAAATGGCCGAAAAATGCCTTTGGATGTTGATGTCATAATTTGTTCTGAAAATAAAAACAAGAGGTGTTAATTGTGTACAAGTGTTCTATTAAAGCAATCACACATCAAAATGAATAGCATTTTCAATATAAAAGCCATAAAACTGTGTGGATTTACCCATGAACTTCCAAAGAATTTTCAGTAAAAAGGAAATACCCCCACACACACGACAAACAGTGGCACACCACCTTTGCATTTTGTAAGCTAATTTAAATAAACTGAAGGAGTGTTTAGGGGTTTAGATGCATGTGACTACATCAGTATAATTTGCTCTGCCAACTGTATGCCTTTTAACTTGGTTCAATATAGAGAGTGTAGGCTGAGACTGTAGGCTCAGTCCAGGAGAAAGCAGACAGTCAGACACAGTTAGTTCCTGGACTCCCCTCCTGTTCCTGGGTGAAGAATAATTAATTTACTACACTCCTTTCTGGGTATAACATTCTCCCTACCATGTGTTCAGCTGGCTGTGCTGATGAGTATGTGTCAGGGGCTGTGGGTCCATGCACTTCCCAACAACTTACTCATGGGGGAAGGGTAGACATTATTGCAAATGCAGCCCCTGCCTGATTTCTAGATGGGATGAACATCCATACCTACAATTAAGTACAGCTAGAAAAAGAATCCAGGAATACTGGCTCACATTCTCGTGCTCTAACCCCTAGACTCACATCATCCCTAAGTAAGGGAAAACACGTGATGATGAGATGCCACATGAAGGCTAAATTGTGGTTTTTGTGCCACAGGCCTGGGTAGGCAGCAGTGCAGAGTTACAGTGCCCTAGGAATACCAGAGAGATTGTGCCCCTGTGATATGCCAGTTTTCCTGTGTTACTCCTTAGATGAGGGGATGAGCAGTCTACTCTGTCCATTACTATGGAGTTCATTGCTCCCCATGGTGCACCATATGGGCCCACGTCCTCCCTGTCTCCTTTCTGGAGTCCTGTTCCCCATGGGAGGATGGGGAGATGGAGCAACCATTCAAGGTGGAGTGGCTTGTTGCTTGTCCCTCTGCTACTTAGTGTAGCCATAAAACTTGAAGGCATTTGTAAAAATACATTTATTTAGTAAATTGAGAAAGGGAGATTGCATGACAGGAGAAATGGAGAAGTAGTCAGGTACCCAAGAGGTCAGAAGGCATCCCAAATATACATACACACTGTAAATGTCTCATTCTGCAAAGCAGTTTGGTTACAACAAAACATTTTCATGGCTTTTATATATTTCTGTGACTTTAAGACTTTGTTATGAGCTGCTTTCACAAAGTTTACTATGGAAAGCCCACACCAGAGTGTAAAAACCCCATTTAAAAAAAAAATATTCAAAAGAGTAGAAAGAATTTGAGAAACCTTCAGGCCTCTTAACCCAGTTTGAAAGCTCTCAGTACCTCACCTGTAAAATAAATATTTAAATACAGCATTAACACATGACAGGAAGTGTTTTAAAGATCTATTAATACAATATGCCTTTGGGTGAATTGTGAGGTAAAGAGTCATGTGTAAGTCTGCAGTTCAGTTATAAGAAAAACTACTTGTATGAATATTATGGTTGTCCATTTAACATACATCTTTCATCCCAAGTCCTATAGCCTCACTTGTGGCCTGGGGACAAATAGATTTTTTTCTTTTAAAAAGGCAGATTTTTTTTAATTCTCACGACTGTGCTGTGACATAAGGCTGCCCATTTCACTGAATCCACTCTGCCGCACTCCCTATTATGTACCATAAATGACACGGGCTAGCATATGCTCCTCCCCTCTGCTTACATTAGCAGAAAGGACCCTTAGTCAGCAAACCAGCCCTGGAGGGAGCAGAAAGGAGCTCCTGCGGTCTCCATGCCATCTTCTCTTCTTCTGCTGACCCATTTATGCTCCTGTATCAGGATCTGGCACTTGTAACATGCTGGCACCACTTGCCTGAAAAACACCTTATCCTGTTAGTAGGTAGCATTTCTGTTGTGAAGATGCTACAGGGGTTCTGCTGAGTCCCTAAGGCAGGGGACTCATACCTCACTTGGTATAAAGGAAGCGCGGGAAAGACTCTCAGAGAGAGGTGATCTAGAGTGCAGGGTGAACCATTCTGAGGAAGAAACCCTAGGCAGGGGCAAGTCTGAGGAGAAGATCTGAGGTAATCTCCATGTTACTTTATTGTTGTTTTCTTTGCTAATAAATCCAAACCCGAGGCAGGGGGTTAGTACATAAATTATGTTTGAAGAGCAGGTGGAAAGGAGGTGGAAAAGAGGAGCAGCCACTCTTCATGATACCATCCCTTACTGCTCCAGTAGCTTTCCAACTGAAACTCTGATTGGGAGTTAATGCTACCTTCCACAGATACTATGCATAGCTTTGTGTGAATCTATCAGTGGCAGCATGGCTCCTGCAGCAAAGAAAAAAATCAGAGAAGTCTCCAACAGGATTCCTGAAATCCTCACAGCCCTAATCTCTGCATAGTAGTGGCAGATGGAGTCATTCGAGTCCTTTCTTTCTAAGTGAACCTAGGGGGTAATGTTGGGCCTTTGCTCATCTGATTCGACAGCTCTCTCATATGAAAATCCACAGGATTCCATTCTGTCTTGCCTCCTTTTAAGGTGTGGCCATTAAGGTGGTTTATGATGAAACATAGTATGCAATGTCTTTAGTACATAGATAATGCCTAGTTCTCCATCTTCTGATCTGGTTAGTCCAGCTGAAGAACGTATTCGGTGCAAACGGAGACTAGGGCCTAGCTGGCTCAGAGTCAACCCAGACAAGATGAAAATCATGCTTGTAGGTTGGGAAAAGCTATTACTGACTGTGGTTATTTCAGTTTCCTTGACTGAGGGAGTTTTCCGGCCGTTTCTGACAGAAATTTTGCAACTTTGGGATTCTATCAGAATTTGCTTCTGGATATCTAGGTAACACGAGAGGCCAACAATACTTTTTTTTTTTTTAATCTGTTACTGGGTAGAAGGTTGTGATCTTTTCATTTAAATGTGGTCCATGTAGGTTACATCTGTACCGTGCTAGTCAGAATACAAGTTGCCTACTTGCTTAGCAGCATTTCCTGAAGGAACTCATTTCATTTGTGGCGCTGTGATCTGTACTGGGCCTCCAGTTTGTTTTGGGGGATGATTCAATGTGCTGGTTTAAATGTACAAAGTCCTAAATGGTATAAGACCTAGCTACACCTCTTCCTCCTTTCGATAAAGGCTGTTGAGATCAACTAAGGTGCTTGAGTGAATAACACCCTGCTTTAAGGGCATAAGGGGATGTATTTATTAATACAGATCGATGAAAGGGAATGAATAGAGTTCATGACTTTTTTGTTTTGTTTTGTAATATTTGTTAATATTCTTAATGTACACACCCTTTCTCCTTGTGCCCTTCATAGTGTGAAAGGATAGACAGACATGTTTTAGAAGTCTATCTACCTAATAAATGAATATTCTTAAGTATTCTGAACAGAGAGGTAGCTGGGGGTTAAGGGGTTGAGTTCAGGTAGCAAGGTGACCTCAGTTCTTTTCCTGACTCTGCCACTGACTGGCTTTATGAACTTGGACACTATATAAGTCACTTCATCACTACATCCTTTTCCTTCTGTAAAGGGGAATAATTGTGTTGATTACTCATAATTTTGAGTGAAAAGTGAATAAATGCAAAGTTTTGCTACTGTTATTTATTATTATTTCTCAATTTCTTTGTGATAAAATTGCAATCTAAGCAAATGACAAACATTATGAAACACTAGTAAGTGCTAGGCCATCACAACAAGATGAAATCCAGACACAAGGGGAAAACCAAAGAAACACCATAATTTTTTTCCCCATTGAGAACCAAGGTTTTTTCAAGGTGACTTATGGGGTTGCAATGCCAAATACATTATTAACACAAGGGCATAGCTACCTGATAAGAAGAATCTTAAAACAGGAACATAAAAGGAAATGCCTTATCTTGGTTTGGCAAACATATGTTAACAAGTCACTCAATAAGCATTAACGAAGTCTTATCAATTTCCAGAAAAAAGGAAAAACTACAAGAGAATAATCAAAGTATAATTCCTCACAGGGATGAAACCGAAGGAGCAAAATCATTTGCACTCTACCACAGAGTTATTCACAGCTCTAAGAAAATTCAGAATGGTTTATAATGGAAAATAATGTCCAATGATTGTACAAGAACATAAATAACCAAAAAGGTAAAAACATGACCTAAACACATAAACAAGAATGAAAACTAGAACATTTTCAAACAAAAACAAGTATCCTTTAAATCTCTACTACATACTGTAAAACTAGGAGAAGAAAAAAACAACCCAAAATCTATACTTCAAAAAGAAAACTCTCAGTTGACACCCAAGGGCTGGTATTTCTTGGAATGCGCATATCAAAAGGAAGAGTAAAAGAGCAGGAATTTCCAGCATAACAAGTTGGGAAATATAAAAGCTTAACAAAAGAAGTGGAAATCACCAAGAAGTAGAAATTTTATATAGGAAAAAAGAAGCTTTTCTGCAACAAACAAGCAGAACATTCATCTACGGGTATGGGTAAGTACTGATAGTATAATCTAAAATAGTCTGAAAGAAATGCTATATTAGTTATACACACATACATACTCTTAGAAGGTAAAACAAAGTAGGGGTGATTTTGTTTCATTTTCTTTTCTTTCTGATTTTCCTTTTATTCTGACTACTTATTATCCAGCCTAACATACATTCGGGTATATCTAAGAACAACTGTCAATATCTCATTAAATGGAAGCATTTCTACACATACCGTGGTTAGTGCACTGCACACAGAAGATTAACAGATATTATAGTCAGTTTCTATAGACACGAAATGCTTGCTATGGAAAACTACCTTTTAAGGTTAAATATTTCCTAACTTATTCATAGAATCATAGACTTTAAGGTCAGAAGGGACCATTATGATCGTCTAGTCTGACCTCCTACACAACACAGACCACAGAATCTCACCCATACACTCCTGTAACAAACCCCTAACCTATGTCTGAGCTACTGAAGTCCTCAGATCAT